TGAATACAAAAGTAGCGTATGCCATTTTAGTGGAATGAGATGAACTGGATTATAAAATTTTTAGTAGATGTGGGGTACTAAGATTTTTACTATATACCACATTTTCTACAAAAAGAATATTCCACATATTCTACAACACAGAAAATGAGTCAGTGAACTTAGTGGTAGAGGCCTCATAGCTTAAATAACCTTGCTTGTGGCCATCCTCATGTCTCTGTGTGAACTTTATTTACAGCTGGCACATTCTCATGCACAGGAGTTGTTATCAGTTTCCTTTAGTGCCCTGCCAGTTCCCTTCCACTGAGATGCTTACTTTTCCTTGTGTTCTGTCTGCTTGGCATCTGTGGGTCTTTGCTTTAGACAACTGGTGCCCCTGTTTTATTGATGCCCTAAACATGTGCTTACCTTGCTTGTTGGGTAATCTGTGCCTGATAATAGATTTGAAGCTGCGAACAGCTGGAAGCGGAAAAACCAGTTAGCTGATCCAAATGCATTAATCCTATTACGGATATGAGTCTGAAATATGACTATGGAAGGTACTTTTATAATAGGCAAATGAGGGTTAGAGAGATTAAATTAGTTGCTAAAGGTGACAAATTTGAGCTTTAGAGTGATTTCATCAAGTCTCTCAAAAATTCTTGTTTGGAGTTTCATAAGACTATATGTACAAACTGTGGTAGGATAAGTGATGGCCTCTGAAGATGTTTATGTCCTAATCTCTGGAACCTGTGAATGTTATGGTATATGGCAAGACAAACTTTGCTGATGTGATTAAATTAATGATAGTGTGATGACGAGATTATCTTGAACTATCCAAATGGGCCTTAAATGTAATCACAATTGTCCTCATAAGAGGGAGGAAGAAAGAGATTTGACACAAAAGAGGAGAAGGCGATGTGATGATGGAAGCAGAGATCGAAGTGATGTGCTTTGAAGATGGAGGAAGCCACAAGCCAATGAATACAGATGGCCATTAGAAGCTGGAAAAGACCAGGAAATCGATTCTTTCCTCAGAGCCTCCCTCCAGAAGGAATCATCGTTGCCGGTACCTTGATTTTAACCCGGTGAAACTGACTTCAGACTTTTGGCCTCCAGACTGTAAAAGAATTAATTTCTGTTAAGTCACCAAGTTTGTGGTAATTTGTTACAGTAACCATAAGAAACTAATAGCATTTTTGGTAGTTGGAAATGGGGTACTATTGTTAACAAATAATTTAAAATGTAGAAGTGGCTTTTGAATTGGAAAACGGGTAGAGGCTGAAAGAATTTTCAGCTACGTGATGAAAAAAGAAGCCTAGATTGCCTTAAAAAGACTGTTGGTAGAAATGTTGATGTTAAAGGCACGGCTTGCAAGGGCTCAGAAAGAAGTGCAGAGTATAGTGGAGAAAATCTATATCATGTTAGAGAATACCTTAATTGCCAAAAACAGAATGTCAGTAGAAATATGAACAATAAAGGTGCTGCTGGTGAGGGCTCAGAAGGAAACAATGAACATATTAGAAACTGTTACTTAGTGGCAGAAAGCTTAGCTTAATCGTGTCCTACAGCTATGTGGAAAACAGAACTTGTAAGCGATGAACTTACTTAGCTCAAGAGATTTCCAAGCAAAACGTTAGCGACACAGTCTGGTTTTGTCTTGCTGTTTACAGTAAAACGTGAGAGGAAAGAGATAAATTGCGGGAAGAACTATCAAGCAAAAAGGAGCTAGGACTTGATGATTTGGAAAATCCTCAGCCTATCCAAATTGCAAAAGATGCTGAAATTAGGAGATTCAGTGTCAGGAAAGTGTGCTCTGGAGAGATGGCCAAGAACGTGGCTGGACAACCTTTTACTAGTGCTGAAGAGTTTAGGTGTGTATCTTATGAATCCCCTCAGCCATCTTAGCAGAAGCCAGAAGTAAAGATGAAATTTTCCAGGAATGACCTGTGGAGGAGCTTCTTGTCTAATGGAGTGAATTTCCATAACATGCACAGGAGACACACAAGGTTTTTGAGAATATTGTATCAGCAGAAATACAACCAGCTTGAACTGAAAGGGACAGAATGAAAAACCAAACCTGTTGCCATTGAGTCGATTCTGACTCATGGTGAACCTAATAGGTGTTACAGAGTATAATTGCTCCATAGGATTTTCTTGTCTGTAATCTTTACGGAAGCAGATTGCCAGGTCTTTCTTCCACAGTGCCACTGGGTGGCTTCCAACTGCCAACCTTTAGGTTAGTAAAAAAAAAAAAAAAAATCAAACCATTGCCGTTGAGTCGGTTCTGACTCATACCGACCCTATAGGACAAAGTAGAACTGCCCCAGAGGGTTTCCAAGGCTATAATCTTTACAGAAGCAGACTGCCACATATTTCTCCTGCAGAGTGGCTGGGGGGGTCAAACTGCCAACCTTTTTGTTAGCAGCCGAGTGCTTAACCACTGTATCACCAGGGCCCCTTAGGTTAGGAGTTGAGCGCAAACTGTTTGTGTCACCCAAGGACCTTAAAGGGACAGAGAAAGGACTAAATGAAAGAAAGGCTGTTGGACCCTCAAACTTTTATAGGCAGATAAAGCAGACTAATAAAACTATTCGGCTGCAAACACTTGCTATCCTTCATTAAAAATGAAGAATGACTCAGAGAGTGGAGCTTCATGCCTAGAGGGTAGAGTCTTGAGACATATAGGATTTTTCCTTGAAACCTAATGGAGTGCCTGGTTAGATTTTGAAATTGCTTGGGACCAGTGACTCGTTTCTTTCTTCCATTTCAAACAGCGTTTTCTATAACTGTTACCCTATACCTGTTCCATCATTGTATTTTGAGAACAAATAACTTGTTTTTCTAGTGTTCGCAGGTCCACAGATAGAAAGAAAATTTCCCCAGGATGGATCAGACCGAGAGTCTCACCCATATCTGATATAGATGATGAGATTTGGGACTTTTGAGCTGATGATATTTAGATGAGATTTTAGACTTGAGTTGGTGATATAGTGGGTTTAGACTTCTGGGGATGTTGAGATGGGGTGAACATATTTTGCAGATGGGATCAGGACCAGATTAAGGCATGTGAGGGCCCCGACACTGATAATCTATGATGCCTCCTACTCTGCTTACTCATGCATTCGAACGGGATATATGAGTTATATATATATACATATGTATGTGTGTGTATCTTAGCTATCCATGATGTAACTTCTTTTTAAATGTGACTATAATGTTAGTGATTGAACGGATAAGTGACATATGCCGTTTTAGTGGAATGAGATGAACTGGATTATAAAATTTTTAGTGGATGCAGAATACTAAGATTTTTACTATATACCACATTTTCTACAAAAAGAATATGCCACATATTCTACAACAAAGAAAATGAGTCTGTGAACTTAGCTGATTCAATGATCAACGTAAACTTCTGTTGATGTCGCACAATGAAAAATTGACTTTCAACAATTTTGCTTTAAACCGCTCATAATTCAGTTTTGATGCTGGTTTCATAATAAATGCTATAATTATAAATGAACAAATGAAAAGATGTCATAAAAGAAAATTTAATGATCAGAAAAAATATTTCAACGAATTGCTATATTCTGTTTTTAGATAGATCTTTCATCTCTAATATAATTAAGAATATTTCTTTCTATTCTTTGCTCTTACAAATTCTTCAATAATTTCATCATAATTAAGCTGCTGAACAATATCTGCTTCCATACATAGTAAGGATAATGAACGGAGTCTTTCCTGAATCACTGTTGTACACTGAGGGTTTTTGAGTCTCTTTAGGGATGAAAATGAGCATTCTGTTGTGCAGTTTGTGATCATTAAAGTTAGGAATATGCATAAAGCAATTTCAACATTGGGAAATGTGCATTGTATTTTATCTTCTATTATGGAATTGTACATGCCTGCATGAGTAAAATCTTTCCTGAATCTGTAAACTTAAAATAAGTAATAAACTCTAATCAATTATTTTCGGTGAAATAAGTGTAGCTAGGTATTTCAGTTTGTCTGTAGATTCCACTCCTGATCTTTCTTATACAGATCAGCTAAGTATTGTGCATAAGAGAATAAAATTATGTTGTTTTAAGAAACCAAGTCTGTGGTAATATGTTACAGCAGTCATAGGAAAGTAATACACCAACCTTTAAATTAATTTGGGACTAATTCATGATTTACAATGTTCGATTGTCCCATCTAGGAATATTGTACACTTCTCTGTTTATTTGAGTTTTGTGTTTCTCTCAGGAAAGTGTTAAGTTTTATTAAAATAAGTCTTGAAAATTTTCCGATAACATTATTATGGGTGCTATGAGCTACAGCTGCTAACCAAAAGTTGGCAGTTTGAATCCACCAGCTGCTCCTTGGAAACCCTATGGGGCAGTTCTACTCTGTCCCGTAGGGTTTCTATAAGTTGGAATTGACTCGACCGCAACGGGTTATGATGAATGGCACTATTCTAAATGCTGTTTTTCAAAAGAGGAAAAGTAATTTTGAATTTATTTTGAACGGTCAAGAAAGATAATCAAGTTACAGTTTGTCTGTTGGAAATGTTTTTTGTTGTTCTTTCTCCAGAATAGACATTTTAATAGAATAAGATTCTTTGGGAGTAGGTACCATGTTTTATACTTCCTATGTTCTTCAAAAATTTTAGCACAATTCTAGGAACACAGTGATACTCCAAAGTGCTGTGCTAGCGGAGTGTTATCTTTGTTGAAATTCAATGAAAACAACCAAAACAGATCTCCTACACACAGTCTTTATAAAGCTCTGGGTATATAATGCTACATTACATTGAGCATATTTTTTAGTTTTTGTTTTACCATTGTGTATTTTATGGTTCTGTTTTTTTAAGATGCAAGGCTGACTCTGAAAAAATATATTGGAAAGGTCTGTGCAACCATTACAGACACAGAAAAGGGATCAGGAAAATTCCTTAAGGAAGACAAGGTATTGTGTTGTGCTTTTTGCTTATTCTGATATATTAAGTGATTTATTCTGATCTATTTTGTCTTTAATTTCTACACTAATGCTCTAAAGGTAGGTGGTGGTCCTCTCTCCCTCCCTTTGTCTTGCTTTTAATCCAAGCACCTATAGTTTTTCTCTATTTAATATGATATTTACTATTAGTTTCTGATAAACACTGCTTATAGTGTTTGAGAAGTTTCCTTTTATTCTATTTTAAAGTTTTATATTTTTTTTTAAAAAAAGAAAATCAGGAATAATGACTAATAACATTAGCTCCACGTCTTAGTTCTCTAGTGCTGCTGTAACAGAAATACCACAAGTGGGTGGCTTTAACAATCAAATTTATTTTCTCACAGTTTAGGAGGCTAGAAGTCCAAATTCAGGGTGTCAGCTCTAGGGGAAGGCTTCTTCTCTCTGTGGGCTCTGGAGGAAGGTCCTTTTCTCTTTGAGTTTTTGCTCCTGGGCGATCTTCACGTGGCTTGGCATCTCTCTTCCCCCATCTCTGCTTCTCTCGCTTGCTTGTTAAATCTCTTTTATATCTCGAAAGAGATTGATGTAAGACGTATCCTACACTAATCTTGTCTCATTAACATAAGAAAGACAGCCCATCCCCAAATGGGATAATAACTACAGGCATAGAGGTTTGGATTTACAATGCTTTTTTTTTTTTTACTTTAGCAAAGAAAAATTTATTTCTTCACAGTAAAGTAAGCTAGAAGTCCAAATTCAGGGTGTCAGCTCCAGGGGAGTGCTTTCTCTCTCTGTTGGCCTTCTCATCAATCTTCCCCCAGACTAGGAGCTTCTCCATACAGGGAACCCAGCTCCAAAGCATGCGCTCTGCTCCTGGCACTGCTTTCTTGGTGGTATATGAGGTCCACCTGTCTCTCTGCTCGCTTCTCTCTTTTATATCTCAAGAGATTTCCTCAAGACATAATCCAATCTTGTAGATTGAGTCCTGCCTCACTAACTCAACAGCTGCCCATCCTCCTTCATTAACATCATAGAGGCAGGCTTTACAACATACAACACACAATACCAAGAGTCATGGCCCAGCCAAATTGATACACACATTTTTGGGGGGACATATTCAACCCATGACTGGAATGAATGAGATACCCCAGAAAATGCAGAGTGAGATGAAGACATGGTGGAGGATAGAGCCTGAGGAACACTGACATCAAGCAGTGGATGGAAGAGTAAGAGCCCACAGAGAAGCCTGGAAAAATCATGACAGAGCAGCCAAAAAGCTAAGATGAAAGCCAAGACAAAGCAAAGGAAGGCAGGTATACAGGAAAGAGGTTATGGTCAGTAGTTTCCAGTGCTGCCGAAAGGCCGAGAAAAGTTGGATGACATTTCATTGGATTGGTCACAAAGGAGGTCACTGATGGCCTTTACTATGATGGTGTCAGTGGAGTAGTGAGGGTCATAAGTATGATTTAAGTAGACTGAGGAATTGTTAAAAATTGAGAAAGTTAAGACAGTACTGTAAGTTAACCCTAATCTCTTTGGAATGGCTCCCAAAACCCTTTATGACATGATCTCTGCCCACTTTTCTTTCCTCATCTACAGACTCTCCCATCTAATATGCACCCTGAGCCCCAGCCTTACAGAACTTCTCCATCCTTTATCTCACCGCCATGCTTTGCTCATGCTGTTCTCTTGGACTCTTCCCACTCTTTGCACTCTGCCTACTTTTTCTTCAAAACAAAATTCAAAGATTGCTTCCTCTTGGGCATGCTTTGCAGACCGTTCCCTCCCTCTGCCAAGATGAGTTAGGAGCCCTGATGTCACAGTGATTAAGCACTCTGTGGGAGATAGATGTGGCATTTTGCTTCCAAAAAGATTACAGCCTTGGAAACCCTATGGGGATGTTGTACTCTGTCCTACAAGGTCACTAGGAGTTGGAATTGACTCTGTGGCACTGGATTTGGTTTTGGTATCTGGTTCCATGGCACTCTGACAGTGTCATTATAATGGTGCTTGTTCCACTGTACTGTAATTTGTAGACTACTTGTCTGTCTCTCCCATGAGATGGTGAGCTTCCCACGTAGAAAATCCCTTACTTATCTCTGAAACCCAAATGCTTAGCAAAGTGCCTTGTATCTAGTAGACCCTCGATAAGTGCTCTCTTAAGGAGTAAGTAAATCATTTTCCTTGGAAACCTTCTACAGAAGACTTTCAGAGCAAGCCAAAGTGAAAGGAACTATCAAATCTTTTTGGTTGTCTTAGAAGTAAGATACTGATAATTCATTTAGAAGAGTTAAGTATGGGGCTAGAAGTAGGAGATCAGTGCTTTGCTCTCAGCTCCTACACTAATTAGCTTTATGATTTGGAGTAAGTCATTTCACCTTTCTGGATCTCCAATTCTTCCTCTGGGAAGTAAGCACAATAATGTCTGTTTTCCAACAGAGATGGTACAGTGCGTATTTTTTTTGGGATACAATTCAATCCATAACACTCCATAAACATTTTATTTTAGCACTTAATACATTCCATGTACTGTTGTAAATACATAAATTAATTCATTTACTCTGTATAATAACCCTATGTAGTAGATACTGTTATTTTTCCAGATAAAGAAAATGAAGCTCAGAGAGATTAAAGAATTTTCCCAAAGTCACACAGTTCTCAGGTGGAAGAATTAGGATTTGAACTCAGACAGTTTGACTCAAGAGTCTATACTATGGAATAACTGCTGCATTTTATTGAAGCTTTTAAGGTGTCTATTATTGTTGTTATATGGGTTTTTCCTTTATCTTATTAGAATAATTATATAGCTAGATTTTCTAATGTTGCACTATCCCTGCATTCCTGAAATGAACTCTATTCCATCAAGATGTATGATTCTTTTGATACACCATTTGGATTCCTAGTATTTAATGTATAAATTCCCTTTTAAGTGTAATAGGTTTACTTTCCTTTCTCTTGTGTGCTAGTACTATCAGAGTTGATTGGGTGGCGCAGATGGTTAAGCGCTCGACTACTGGCCAACAGGTTGGCGGTTCAAACCCACCCAGAGTTACCTTGGAAGACAGGCCTGGCGATCTTCTTCCGGAAGGTCACAGCCTTGAAAACCCTATGGAGCAGTTCTACTCTGCACAGATGGGGTCGCCATGAGGTGGACTCGACTTGACAGCAACTAACAACAACAAAACTTGTTCCCTGAAAGATAAGAATTTCATGTAAAACTGTCTTGGTCTTTTTAAAGTGTTAGTTCTTTAACAAGCACTTCAATTTCTTCCACATTTGTGGGTCTGTTCATGTTTCTACCTCTTCTTGGGTTAATGTTGGTAATTTGTATTTTGCTATATTATCAATTTCCTTTATAATTTTTAATTTCTTGCGATAAAGTTACACATTGTATTTTCTTATAATTCTTTTGATCTCTCTCTTATGTGTGTATTTCTCTGCTTTCTCTTACTTATTGCTTTTTTTTGTTTGTTTATTTTAGGCTTGCCCATAGTCTATCTATTATCTTTTCAAAAACTAGCTTTTGGTTTATTTATCATTCCTAATGTTTTATTACTTTATTCTATTTAATTAATTTCAGCTTATTATTATTATTATTTTTACCTCTTAACATCTTTTGGCCTATTTTTTTGTCCTTTTTTTTAGCTTCCTAAATTGGTTTTGTCTATTTATTTTTTTGCCAAATTTATTTATTTTCTATACCTTAACAAAGCCATTTAAAGGTACAGATTTTCCTCTGGGTAAAGCTTTAACTGTATCCTGTAGCTTTTTACATGAAATAATCTTTGTCATTAATTTATAATTTCAATTTTAATTTACTTTTTGATCTTGAGTTCTGTAGATGTTTGCTTTTTAATTCCAGATGATCATTTTGTTGTCAGTAATTTCTAATTTCATTAAATTTTTATCAGATAATATGCCTACAAAGCTCAAATTTTGATTGTGACCAGAAAATTATCATTTTCTGACAAGTGTTCTATGGGAAAACTGAAAACCGTCCATACTCTATTTATAAAAAGTACGAAGTTCTTTAAACTTGAGTTTGTTGACTACATATTCAAATCCTGTATATTCTTAATAATTTTTTGGCTTACTTTATCAAATTCTGAAAGAGGTATAGTAAAGTCCTCTACTATGATTATAGTTTTATGAAGTATTCCTATTACTGGAATTTCTTTTATTTCACTGCAGTTGTTCTATTCCACAGATGCTTTCTTTGAACTCTTTATGTATTGGCCCCTTTCTGTAAGGAAAAATTCAGTTATGTGCTTTGCATTTAAGATGGTGAGGAGAAAGCTAAGTTGTACCTGAGGTCTTCACAGCTTTTATGTTCTGCCAATAATTATCTTTCAACTGCCCTTAGGCCTCCCTACCTTAAAGAATGTAACAATTCATGGTAAACCCAGGAATACATGCAGAAAAATTCTATATAAAATTCTGTATACCTTGATCATTCTTTCATATTCCTCCTTTTACTGAGTATAGATTAATGCTTTTTCACTGCAGAAAGTCTATTCTTCATCTTCTAAAACTGGGAATGCTATATCTGGTGATGTTAGTGTGGAGCGTTAGAAATCCCCACAAATAGAGAAATCCTTAAATATTATATTGATGATCATAAAGGAAGACCTTCACCTAGCTTAGAAATCAGCATGTCACAATGGAAAGAACATTTGTTTAGGAGGCAGAAATTGAGACTGTAGTCCTAGCTCTGCTTTGAACAGAAGTAGGACCTTGGGCAAATTGTTTAACCTCTCTTATTTTCAATTTTTATGAGTTTCAAAGTAGTCAGAAATAATACTCCCAAAGACAGTCATGTAACTCTTCTTTTCTCTTTTGCTTTTTATCTTTCTGTCTCTTTCACTTACAGTTTCTCAGTCTTTCAATCTCTCAGTCTCTTTCTCCTTGTTGGTGGTGAGGAAGATGAGGAAGCACGGTACAGTAGACAAAAGAGGACCAACCTGGACTAGGGAGGCAGGAGGAAATGAAGCTTTAAGTTTTCCAGATTTGTCCTGGTATCTTAAATCAGACATTAGCAATTTACTGCACATATGCATTGAGATGGTTTTATAATGCAATTGGAGAGATTTTCAGTGAGGTGGAGCTCTTCTTGCATTTCTAGCACTTCTTCCTCCTCCTGTGAACCATCTGAGAGGGAATAAAATATTCAGAATCAACATTGTCTGTTGACCTGCATGTAGCTCACTATCCACCTCTTCTTTTCCAACCTTGGCAAGCACTTATCTTTGTTACAGGGCTTAGTGAAAATAAAGCATTAAGGGTGGAGATACAGAATTAGGGAAATAGCATAGACTGGCACAAGGCTTCATGACTCTAGATTGTGAGAAGGTTTATTATACTCATACTCCACTAATATTAGAGCTGTACTGTCTAATGGAGTAGCCACTGATCTTATGAGGCTTTTTAAGTTTGAATTAATTAAAATTAAATAAAATTTAAAGTTTAGTTCCTCAGTCACACTAGCCACATTTCAAGTATTCATTAGTCACATGTGGCTAATGGCTACTGTACTGAACAGTGCAGATGCAGATACAGATCATTTCCATCATCACAGAAATTTCTGTTGGACAGTGCTGGTTTAGAGATTCTAAAGAGTTTTGTTTTTCAATAAATAAGTAGAAAGTAAATTTTATACTCTGTCCCTAGAATACCATCCTCACTGCGTGCCGTGCAAAAAATGAGTGGCTGGAAACCCATTTGGAAGCTTCCATTAACGAGCTTTTTGAACAGAAACAACAGTTAGAAGATATTGTGACTCCCATTTTCACAAAAATGTCTACACCACGTAAGTTTTGCATAAAAAATTATCTGAATGTCAGAAAAGATGAAAATTAGGTTCATGTTGCAATTTCTGAGATAGTCTGATTTTAATTATCTCTATTAGTCATTAACAATGTTACAAGCACTAGTCCATGATATAGCTCCCTAATTTTGATATTACTTTTAATATTAGTAATAACTAATAATAATAACTGAACTCTTTCTATAGGGAATGTCTAATACTAACTTTAACATTAGAACAATCATCAATCATTTAATTTTATATAGTTTACTGTGCCTTTGATTAGTGAATCAGTGATTCTCAACTAGGGAGGCATGTCCTTCTGGGAGATAGGGTAGTAGAATGTGAAACAGCATGTTCAGTATTATGAGTCTATATTTAGGGGAAAAAATATATCGTGGGAATACTGTCCTTTGAATGGGGAAGGTGCATGTATCAGAATCTTTGTGGCAGGGATACCTAAGTTTTTTTTTTGTTTCTGTTTTTTAAATAACAGCTTTACTGAGATATAATTCTTCTACCATAAAATTCACCCTTTTAAAGTATATATTTCAGTGGCTTTTAGTATATTCAGAGTTGTGCAACCATCACCACTATCCAATCTTAGAATATTTTTATCACCCTACCCTAAAAAGGAGCCCTGGTGGTACAGTGGTTAAGATCTATGGCTGCTAACCAAAAGGTTGGTAGTTTGAATCCACCAGCCACTCCCTAGAAACCCCATGGGGAAGTTCTACTGTGTCCTGTTGGGTTGCTATGTGTCAGACTTAACTTGACAGCAATGGATTTTTTGGGTTACCCTAAAAAAGAAACCCCATACCCATCTGCGGTCACTTCCCATTCCTCCTTCTCCCTAGCCCCTCGCAACCATTGATCTACTTTCTGCCTCTATGGATTTGGCTGTTATGACATTTCATATAAATAGAATCATATGATATGTGGCCTTTTTTGTTTAGCTTTTTCCACATAGCATAATGTTTTTAAGGTTCATCTATATTGCAGCACGTATCAGTATTTCATTCCTTTTTACCGCCAAATAATATTCTGTTGTGTGGATATAAATTTTGTGTACACATTTATCAGTTGAGGGACACTTAGGTTGTTTCCATCTTTCTGGCTATTTTAAATATTGCTGCTATGAACATTTGTGTAAAAATTTGTGTGTGGCCATATGTTTTTAATTTCTCTTGAGTATATATCTGGAGAAATTATGTAGTCAAATGTTAACTCAGTGTTTAACCTTTTGAGGAACTGACATACTGTTTTCCAAAATGGCTGTACAATTTTGCATTCCCACCAGCAGAGTATGAGGGTTCCAATTTCTCCACATCCTTGCCAACATGTTATTATCTGTATATTTTTTAGCCATCTGAGTGGATGTAAAATGGTATTACATCATAGTTCTAATTTACATTTCCCTGATGACTACTAATGTTAAATTTCTTTTCATGTGCTTACCGGCTGTTTGTATATCTTACTTGGAGAAATGTCATTCAAATCTTTTCTCGGTTTTAAAATTGGGTTTTTTAAAAATTTTTGAGTTGTAAGAGTTCTTTATGTATCCTGGATACAAGTTCCTTATTGGAGATATGATTTTCAAATATTTTCTACTGTTCTGTGGATTGTCTTTTCATTTTCTTGCTCATGTCCTTTGAAACAAAAAAATTTTAATTTTGATGAAGTTCAGTTTTTCTGTTTTTTCCTTTTATTGCTGTGCTTTGGTGTCATATCTAAGAAACCATTACCTAATTCAAGATCATGAGGATTTACTCTTATGTTTTTTTCTACGAGTTTTATAGTTTTAGTTCTTACATTTAGTTCTGTGGTCTATTTTAGTTAATTTTTGTGTATGGTGTGAGGTAGGGGTCCAACTTCATTCTTTTGTATGTGGATACCCAGATACCTAAGATTTTTATGTTTATCAAAATGGGCTGTGGTTTTAAAAAAATTAAGACACTTAACCTTGTCTAGGTAGTGTGACAGAAGATCTCTTGCTATCTATAATTAATATTTATTGAGCATGTTTATATTCTCTCTAGTATCCTGGAGGACACAGAAGCTTTATACTGTTCTTGTCTTTAAGGAGCCTACCACCTAGTTTGTTAGTAAAACATGCAGAGCTGAAAAGATAAACTAAGTAGTATGTATATTCGGAGGAGGCTAAGTAGAAAGAGGAAGTTTCATGGAGAAAGAGGAATTGCTTGGATGGATGGGTAGCCCCACTGGAATCAGAAGGAAATTTCAGAATGGAAGCACAATATGATGATAAAACGGTCAAAGGTGGAAATATAGGGACATGGAGAGTACCCACCTGGGTGATTATAGTTGATTCTGTGTTAAGGAACAGTAGAAAGTAAGGTTGGAGGATTAACTTGTGATCATTTATGAAAAGTATTGAATTGTAAGATTAGAAGCTTGGACTTTATTTTCTGGATAGCGGAATGCCATTAAAACCTTTAGGGTAGGAGAGAAGAGGGATTAAGTAGGGGAGAATAGTCTGGCTTTCCTTGTGAAGTGGATTAGAGGGAGAGAAGTTTAGAGAAAGAGAAATAACCATAGTTTGGTCTATCTACAGTGAGATGATTAAGACTTGAATTATTGATTATATAGTTGGTTGATTCCCATCTTCTCCCCCTGCTCCATCACTACCATTACCCTGGCCCAGCAACCCTCCCTCACTTCTCACCTGTGAGGAAGAATTGCCTGTATCCCCAAGTCCCCTATTGTCACATCCTCTCCAGCATCTTATTCCTGTATCATAGAATGTTAGATCTGGATGGAACCTCTAAACTAACACTTCACTATATAATGAAGGAGGTGAAGACAAAGTTACTCTAGTCAGTGGCAGAACTAGCAACAATTATACTGATTATATAGGAAATGTGATTGTGCAGCTTCAGATATTTAAAAAAGGAGGGATGAATACTTGATTTGATATACCAACAACTCCATGGCTAATGCAGGCTAGGATGTCCTGATTTATTTTATGCCTACTGTTTTAAAAACTGGCTTCATTTTGTTTCATATTGCAAGCTAACTATAATTTAAAAATCTGTTTCCTTTCAGGTCAAGTAAAGAGTGCCAAATCTGTGGTAACCTAAGCCATGGTCAGAAAAGAAGACAAAATCATACCTCCTTACTGAATATAGATGTTGTAAAAGGCCATATTTTCTTCTAGTAGCTGTAAAGAAAACTTATTCATGAAATGAAGAAAATAGATATGGGGTTTTATAAGAATATTTCAGTATGAAATTAAATCACTCTTGTTTTGTTGTACTCTGTTTAGCATGCTTATGTCCAGGCTCTCTGGCCTAGCCTCTGCTCCCCTACTGACAATCCATGTGAGTTCCAGGTGCTCCTTCCAGAGAGCACTTGGGTATGACTCACACACAAAGATCAGATGGAGACTTTTAAAACTATTTAGAGAATCTAATAATTTTCTGTGTGATTGAGTCAGGAAATGTCCATTCAAGTGAGGAATTCTATTAAAAAAAGACATATTTGACTATTTCTAGAGGAAAAATTTGTTCTCCTTCTCTCCAAAGGAAAGCTTATGGAATGACATTCTGGAGCAAGGAAATATTAAGGACCATTTGGATTGGGGTCCTCTGATTATACAGCGATTACTTTTTATGTGCAAATTAAAATTCACCTGTAAGGTGGGATGTAGTGTCTAAGTAAACCCCTTTATTTCTCTGTGTTCTATCTTTTAATTAATTAACACGAGCCTGTTTAGTTTTCTATTTATAAGATTTCCCCTATTCTCTAGTTTTGGTAATATAGATAGAACTAGACTCCATCCCGTTTTCCTCCTGTTCTGTTTTTATAATTTTTATCTTTTAAATTTTAGAGTTGGTTTCATATTGGTGATTTAGAAATCGTCTCCCCCCACACCCTCCTAGTTTATCTAATAAAGCCCTGAACCTTCTACTACTCTTTCAATAATACCTTGTCAATTGACTTTTTCTTAAACATGGTTTTTGAGATAACAGTTTTATAATTTGTCTCCCTAATTTTTAAATTTTGAGATCTTTTTATATGTAAGCAACTCAGTTTCAATTGCCTTAAGCAAAAGAACAGAGCAATAACTCTCACTACCTTCTCTGGTAGACCCAGTGTTTATGGAGTAGTGCAAAGAAGGAGGAGTCCTTGGGTGGTCCAAATGGTTAACATGCTCAGCTGATAACCAAAAGGCTGGAGGTTTGAGTCTACCCAGAGGCACCTCAGAAGAAAGACGTGGCAATCTAGTTTTGAAAAACCAGCCATTGAAAATCCTATGGAGCACAGTTCTGCTTTGACACACGTGGGGTTGCCATGAGTCTGAATTGACTCAGTGGGAACTGGTTATAAAGAAGGAATCTGTGTTTGCTCCATTCTCTTAATACAATATATTGTTAGAAGTCCAATGCCCTTAAGCACTACAATAATTTAAGAAAAAGCCAGATGCCATTTTTGTTGTTTCTCCTCTGACTCTGTATTTTTTAAATATTGATCTTGAATATGACATTACTTTCCACACATGTGATTCTGGTGATTAGTGAAGGATTTCTGGTTCTCACTTCAAAGATTTCTAGATAAAACCAAGGAATTTCTGGAGACCTTGTAGTATAAAATAAACCTCTCTCTCCTTCTTTATTCATCTCTCATTCTAAATCCTCAAACAGGTTTGTAGCTTTTGATACGTTTCCTAATGCTATCTTCTTGAAACTCCTTGTATGATTCCTCTACTATCTTACAAATGACTTTCTAACTCCTTCCCCAGCTCCTCTTCTTCATCTTATCCTGAAACTGTGGGAACATCTCAAAATTCAATCCTGACCCTTGGTGATGTTATCTATTATTTTCCACCCCATGACCTTCCCTACCCTCAGTGTTAGGCAAAACTCATCCTCCCTTCTTTGGGGCACCCATAGTACTAATAGCCTCATACTATATTCTATTTAATTGTTCACATGTTTTCTCCCCATGTGAATTTTAGCTCTTTGAGGATAAGGACCTTGTCTTGTTCTTCCTCATAACTAAAGAGCCTATAAGATAGTAAGTTCTCAGTAAATAATAATGAAATGATTTCTCCTTTGGCACTACTTTATTCATAGAACTTATTACCTCTTCATTCATCCATAGAGCTTGTTCAGCTTTATAAAAGTGACTCCCAAATCCTTATCTCCATATCTGCCTTGTGCCAATGCCCCGTTTCAACTCCAACCCCTCCAGTAAACAAGCCACACACACACCCAGCATTATGACTCTATGTATAGTTTCTCCTCTAACTTTCTATTTCCTGAGCCTTCATCTGGAACACCACATTACTTTTCAGGCATGTGAACGTGGTGGCTACCAAGGGATTCCTAGATCTCACTTCAAGGATTCCTTTGATGTAAGGATATGAGTATTTCTTTATACCTGTAGATCTATAACTTTAGTCTGTTTTGAGAGATATAGTACCTCTTGTTACCTATTGTTTCATTGAATTATAGTCACAGGAGAGTTAAAATGCCCTTAATGGTTTGAGCTTGAGCTGTAATACAGGTAACTGCATGACTTTTTCTAAACATCCACATAGTGATTACTGTTTCAGAGTGCATGCTAGTAAATCAAGAAAGCCTCCACATTATTTGAGAGGTTGTCAAGCAAAGGCTGGATTCAATGTTATGATAACTTCTAGACAGTGGTTCTTTAGACTTTCATATTTCATTGATCAAAAAACAAAAATAAATAAAAGTAAAAAAAAAAAAAGGAGGTGGAGGGGATTGATATGACACCGTTAAGAAAACAATTAATATCTACTATCACTATTATTTAATAAAAGAAAAGACATTTTAACATCAGAAAAGAAGGGGAGATGTAAGGCTCTAGCCTTTAAGTTTAAAAATTGAGCTTTACTACACGCCTATATATTTATTTTTCTCATTTTGCCATGTACGATGTCATCATGAATCCAAATTGGGCGGTGGTCCAGCCTTTGAGAACTACTGCTCTGGACTAAGATAAAGCAGTCAGACTGCTGAGTTAGGTTAATGTGATGCCTTAAATTGTAAAAGTCTGACAATCACCCCCATGTTTGATCTAATATGGATTTTCCAGGAAGGCTGTACCAACATCTCCTGTCCCACATGTTCTTTATACAGTGTAGTCTTGACAAAATGTGGGGTCTATATTCTCTCCCCTTGAACCTGGGCAGGCTTGTGACTACAGTGGAAGCGATGTTTTGTGATTTCCAAGGCTAGATCATAAAAGGTGATGCAACATCTGCCTGGTTCTCATGAGAAGCTCACTCCTAGAAACCAGACATGTGGAAGGCAAAGCAGCCTGTGCAGAGGCCCACATGGAGAAGAACTGAGGCCCCAGCCCACAGCTCTGGTTGAACTGCCAGGCAGTAGTCACGACCAACTTGCCAGCCATATGAGTGAGCCATCTTGGAAGTGGATCTTCCAGTCAAGTCTTCGCAGCTGGTACTGTATGGAGCATAGACAAGTCACCTCTGTTGTGCCCTACCAAAACTGCAGATTTGTGAGCTAAATAAATGATCGTTGTTGTTTTAAGCTATTCAGTTTTGTTTGTCTTTGTTATGCAGCAATAGAGAACTGATACAAGTTTTGGAACCCGGAAGTGAGAAATTGACATATCAAAACCTAAAATATATGGCATTTGGTTTTGGAACTGGGTGGTAGGAAGAAGCTGGAAGGGCCTAGAGAAGAGTGTTAATGAAAGCCCACAGGGCTCAAGTAGAGTATTAGCAGAAGCCTTAAGGGCCTCTGGGAGGTTAATGTTGTTAGGTGCCATCCAGTCAGTTTTCCACTCCTAGTGACCCCATGTGACAGAGTAGAACTGCCCCACTGGGTTGTCTAGGCTGTAATATTTATGGGAGCAGATTGCCAGGTCTTTCTCACGCAGAACTGCTGAGTGGGTTGGAAATGCCAACCTTTGGGTTAGCAGCTGAGCACTTACTATTGCTCTACCAGGCCTTGGGAATTTATTAGTGGAGTTAATAGGAAAAAGAAGAATATGCTAGTGGAAATTGGATAAAGGGGACCTCGTTATGTGGTGGTGGTAAGTTTGGCAATGCTGTTGCTGTGTAAGTAATGAACTCAATGATCCTGCTAAGGATATTTCCAGGTAGAGTGCTCCCATGCCACCTGGCTTCTTCTAGTAAAATGTGAGGGGAGAGATAAGAGCTGAAAAGAAACATTTCAGTTTTCAAATAAAAGTTAAATATAAAGGAGCAAGTACATGCTGGGTTTGAAAATTGTTCCCCATTCTTAGCCTTTCTAGATGGCAAAAAATTCTCAAACTAAGAAATGACTTCTGGGAAAAAATCAAATGCAGGGTGGGATTATAAGGTTATTTGTTAAGATCTCAAAATATCTAAGGTGATGCCTCCTTGAGTCTTTCAGACTGTAGGTGGGCTTTCTCCATTTAACTAGGAAGATGGCCTCTAGCTGCTCTAGGCAGTCATCATCACAACTTACCAATCCAAATGTAAAAAGAGTAGCTATCTCCCAATAATGGTATATATCAACCCAAGGAACCATCTGATTGGTCCTGTCTGAGTCCCATGCCCACCCCTAAACTAATTATAGTGTTAGGGGAATGGGGAACTATGATTAACCACACTGTGCCTATCTCAGTCAGATGGTAGAGTCTGTTAACAGAAGACGGGGGTGGGAAAAAACCCACTGGGCAGCCCTCAGCCCTCAACTCCCCAAAGCTACAAAAATCTGTTTTAGCTGGCTTTACCCAAAATGATGAAATACAAGTTTATTATTGCCTTTTTTTTTTTTAAGCTCTATGGGAAAGGTTGAAAGGTAGAGAAATTTGGTCATCTCTGTATTTTAATTCTGTGCTATCTTTAGCTGTCAGAACTATATGTAACCCAGAACTGACTCTTTATGAATTTTGTCCAAGTTTTCCTGAAGTATGAGAATTTTACTAGAAGCCATGGAGAATCTGAATTTTGAAACTAAAACTTGGAATCCTACGTATAAGGCTTAGGTGTCCTAAGGGACGGCAGTAGGATAGGAACTAAATAGAACCAGGGAGGGCATCGCTCAAAATGATCTGAGTCAGTGCAGCTGAGGGAAGAACCAAACTTCATGTTGAGAGGAGTGAAGGTGACAACCAGGATAGATCAGATGAAGGTGAAAATGGGAAAAAGGGTAGTGAACTTAGTAGTTGGGACAGGTAAGTAAGGACAAGATGAGAAAGATTAAGGAATGGATTTCTCAGGAGAAAGCCCGTGAATACTTTTTTTTTCTTCTCGATTTTATTGTGCTTTAGG